TTAAAAATTTACTATCATCTTTCTTCATTAGCCAATTGTTTTCAACCCTGATGCTCTCAGGAATATATCTATCTATTTTGTTTTCACCAAATTTTAAATATGTGTTTCCATGAGTAGCGGGTTAGTGTCTCTGCCTCAAAGGAATGAATTCCATCATGTTATGAAAATAAAGCTGATGTCTTTTATGATAAGTGTTGTTGAAGAGGTGATGATGAAGACCATTTATCTGTAGGTGCTAAGCACTGGAGATACCTAACTCCATGATCAGTTTAACCTTCCCCTTCTGTGCAAAAGATAACAAAAAGATGGGAAGGTTATGGTACCATCTGAACTAACCTATGACGTAAATAAACCTCCATAATATCATTAGGAAAATGAAAAATATAGGTTAATTCAATTTTTTCTGTATCAGGTCTGATGGAGGGGAGTTTCTTTGTTTTGGTATATATCTTAACATCGGTCCTGCAAGCAAGCCTGTTCAGGAAATTTGCCTGTACTCCTCCTCTGGAGTGCTCTGATCTGAGATCAAAGAGTCCATCTGGGACAGCATCAAGTACCCATTACACATCTTGTGTGTAAGCTTGATCCCAAATCAATATTTTTACCTTCCTGGAAGTTCATTTTCTTTTAATGTTAGTAACTGGAACTCTGGAAACATTGGTTTTACACCTTTTTTTTGTAGCCAGTTATCCAACCAGCCATTTACCCAGGCAGCCTCATGGAAAAATGAATGCTTCATCTGGGAAATAAAAACTGCATATGGCAAATATCCCACCACAGCTGTCAATCTGGTATTTCCTAAAATAAAAGCATTTGTATTTGATTTGGAACATTATTCATTATCAGTTTATTTAAATATATATATTTTTTGTGCTACTGTGTATGCCCAATTCAGTAGACAGATTCTGATAAAAAAAAAAAAGACATATTTTATTATGACCATCCTTCATCAACAGGAATTATCAGCACAATTTAAAGCCTGAATTGACAGGACCTGTGACACAGGTTACTCTTTCTGGTGAGGCAAGATCATCAGATACCATGGGAAGGCTTTTGCCCAGAGAACATAATTAATAGGTAACACAAGAATGAACAAGTCCAAGGGTGTTTGGAAAAGTCAAGATAGAAGGATGCAGCACCTCCTGCTAGCTTCACTATACACATGATGTAGCTTCCCCTTGGATTCCAAATGCTCTTACCACAACCTGTGCTGCTGCATTAGCGATAGTCATGTGCCGTGGGCTTTGGCTGATGACCTTTACTCACAACCACACCTAAGAGAAATGAAGTAGCAATTTAAAAACCCTTTTATAGCCCTGTCATGGGGTTTTGCTGGAGGACATCAGAGCCAGAGAGATCCTCTCTGCCAAATATCAAAGGCCTGTGACAAAAAGAAAGTCTGCTCAAAGCAATACCTGCCAACAATAGCAACAGAGGTTGGTAAGCAACCTAAACATATTCACTGCTACAAGTTTATCCAGTGAAATACATGAAGAATACCTTTAGCTACAGTGTGGTCTTGATTTCCCTGGAACAGCTCGCAGACAAGCAGCACTCACAATGGCTGGTGGAAATGTCAGGGCATGAAAAAAGGGTGCCAGGTGACAGGGAGGCTCTTTCAGACCAATATCCCATCTAAATGAAAATTAATTTTTCTTCCTCTTAGGACATTTTTCCTAAATAAAATTGGGTGACCCCTTCCTTTTAGTTCTGTTTTATGTGACTGAAGTATAGTGACATGCCCAGGTTACCTGAAGGTTTTCTTACCTGGAAAGCTCTGCATCGGTTCTGAGTTCATTCCAGTGAGGGCATCAATGCCTCTACTTCATCAGCTTGCCAACTCCTTCCACAGTGCATCCCATCAGGACTGAGGAACTTTATGTTTTGATAGCTTTGGGAACAAACATGGGCCACCATTTCTCCTTATAGTCACCTCAACTAACCTAATTTAGTATTGATGCTTGTCAGCATTTCTGCAGTTATCTTGAAGCAAACTCTGCAGCCCAGATGAAAACTACAGTGTTTTTCTCTTGAAACATGATAACAATTACATATCAGATGTTAATTTAGCATCTATCACTATCTACAAGCTTTCACAGGACTTGCATCTGTTACAATGTCTGTAAAAGCACAGCCATACTGGGTAACTAGTTGAGTACTTACTAAGAGAGCAGTGAATAAAATAGTGATACCGACATTACTAACAGTCTTCCTCATTCTTCTACTTATTTAAAATGCTGACATCCTCAAAAGGATGTTATGACTCAATATCCAACACCAATACCACTCAGGTCCAGTTGACACGACATGAATCACCCCCTCTGCTCGGGGCAACAAACCAACAGGACTGGATTCCAAGCTGGAAACACCAGCACAGTTGTTTCTCGAAGGAAAGGTGCTGTCCTTAAAGTCTTAGAAAAACTTTAGCAACTTATTTGACCCCACAGATAAGCAGGAAAATAGTATAAGACATATAAAATGAATTCTAGTATTTTGCAGGAAGAGTATTTTTATTATGTTAGTTTAAAAAAATATTTTTCACTCTTTAAAGATTAACTGAATTGTTGAAGATCTTTTGTTATTATAATAAGGAAAAAGCCTCAAACTTCAAAAGGTGCAGGGAGTCAGCAGAGTCTGTCTAGTAGGCCTATTTTACATTATCTACCATTTAGTGTATAGCGCAAACTTTTTAAAAATTAAATAGCACAAAAAAAAGATATAAGGCAGGCACTATGTCATTAATTTATCTTAATTCTTTCTTATAAGTCTTTTGAGAAAGTATGTTTTTGCATCTGGACTAGTAATTAATATTTGTATCCCTGGCCAGACTGATGTTAATAAAGTCTGCCTTTCTAGATGGCAGAGCAGGAGGACACTATTTTACGCACAATAAAGTTCCACACAAATGTGGAACCGGTCAATTTGCTACACGTGATCTGCCATGAGGATGTAAATAATTGGTATGTATGTCTATGAAAAATGAAGGTGTTTATTCACATAACTTTACCTTAGGCACCTAAAGTAAAATCACTCGTGTAATATAAATCACTGGTATCTCTCACCAGGAGAATTCAAACTCTTCTCCTTGACTATAGAGAGGCAGAGAGAGTTTAGACTCCTAAAAGAGATGCTTCTTACAGTGATGGTAAAAATTAACCCCACCGTTACTCAATCCTCCATGTTGCAACTAAAATTTCTGCCCCAGTCTGATTATGCCCTTTGAACCCTTTATTTCATAGAATCACAGGTTTCCATATGTCTTGTGCCTTCTCTAACACCTTTTAGTGTCTTTGCTTTTCAGGTGAGCCACACTGCTCACTACCTCGATTAGACCATAATATATATATACATGTGAAACAATACAGTTCTTGGCATTTATCCTCGGGATTATTTTATAGAATGTCTTCTTTCGAGAGAAAACCAAGTACCTTTTAAAACATTTCTGAAATTATTATATAAAAGTTGATAAAGATTTTATTTAATATTGATTTTATTTAACCTAAAGGTATTTTTCTATGCCTAAAGCTAAACTTGTAATTTCAACTTCCTCTACCATCAGTCAAGAGCAATACATCTCTTAGTGGTGTATTTTAAGTGGGTTACATTGTGGATATGCCTGCTGATTCTCTGCTTTGGCTAGTGAGGAACTCTACATAGCTAGGTTAATGTTTAAATGCCTGCAGTTAGGTCAATCCCATCCATAGAAACTTAATAAAAGAACAACTTGATTATTTGAAACCTCTGTGAAGCAGTGTGATTAGGAAGTGTTCTCATGTCTGTGCTAATCTCTGTTGAACACTGATTGTTTTTCAAAAGCTTTTGGGTTTCTTTCTCATTAGTGGATCCAGAAATAAAACCTAACCATTGTAAAATTATGCTGTTTACTAGAAAGTCTCCTTAATAAATAGAAAAGATTGAAAATTTTTGAATTGAACTGATACATTTCTTTTAAATTTACTCTCAAAAGTTTGCAGACAATTTTGCCTTGGTCTCATCCAGGGTCTAAAGTACTTTAAGCACACAAAGCCCAACTAAAGCTAACAGAATTACTTCAAAGAAAATGGGCATTTGTTATTTTTCTCATGAGAAAGAAAGGCTACAGAGATAAGAAATCATGTGTCTGTTTGCCGAGTGCTCTTTTGTAACCACTGTTTATTTGAGAAAAAGCAGCTGAAGATTATAAAGCCCTAGAAGTAGGTGAGGTGAAGGTAGCTGGACAGTTTCATTTTTGTTGGAGTGTAACTTAGACACTGATTTTATCAGTGGAGGGGTAGTTTTTGTATTCCCTTCGGAGTCTACGAGATCATGGAGGATTAGTAGGAGACTTTAGGACTTTATAATTACAATTTCTACACAAGAGAAACAAACAGCAAAAATAGTTAGCCAGGTGCTGCATAACCTGCAACCAGGCTGATTCAGCTACTTCCAACACTTTTATGACCTGAAGGCTGTAGGCAGTTGTCCCAGGACCAAAAGACAAAGGTGCAAATGGCAGCTCCCACCATATGTCACTGCTGCTCCTTGGGTGCCTGAAGCCCTCCTCAGAGCACCTCCGCCCTAACCTAACCCTGCTCGTGCCTGCTTTGGAGTGAACTCTGTGGCATTGTTGTCACTTATTTACCTGAAGGAACCAGGCAGGGAAAGGGAAGATGACAGCTAGTAAGAAACACAGGGACAAAAAGATTGATAACACAACTGTACGATCACTACTATAGCACCTCAGCCTTTTGGGAGGGTGGGTATATGTAATGGACAGCACAGATTTGGACATTTTCTGGTCAGACTGATCCCTCTTAAACATCTGCTGCTGCTCCCCAGATCCCATGGGGAAGATGGAGTATTACTCACAGCTTGCTAATTTGGCAACTCCACGTCAGGGTCACTGGGAAGAGGAAAGGGAGACGGAGACCTCTGTGTCTGAGTCACTCTTTTTTGCCCAGCCCTCACCTTTTGTGATAAAAGCCCTACAGCCACAAACACCTGGGTCACAAACCTTCACAATGCAGCCCTACTTTGCCATAGGTGCTCTTCTTATACTGACTGTTACCATGAGATCAGCAACTGCCACAGCACGGAGTGAGAATGATGCCACCGGAGAAGATGTCTATCCCCCTCTGTGGTACCTTGCCCCTGAAAATCTGCTGGATTACCTAGTAAAGGACAACAAAATTGTCATTGATGCTTGGAACTATCAAGAACGACTAGGAGTGTATAAGAACTTGCTAAACTCTTCAGCCAAATATTTTACTGCTTTTGGATCCCAAAATTTTGGCAATATTCTCTGGGGATTACCGTTGCAGCATGGGTGGCAATTTCGTACAGGTATGAGCTATATCCTTAAGCTGCTGGAACAGCTGTTTACCAGACCTGCTTTGGGTCATCCTTTCCAAGGTCTCTGCCTTGCAAGCCCCATATAAGCCCAGACAGTGTAATTTTGTCATACTGATAGAAGCTCCCAATTAGAAAAATAAATCCTGAATGAAGGGAACACCCATGCCCTGTTGAGCAATAGCTATTAAACTTTCTAATAGGGAAAGGTATTGCTAAACACAGGATTGGTCAGAATGCAGAAGATCTGTGGTTTAGATGGGCCATATTTCAGTTAGCTGGAAATCTCTGAAAATATATTCCTAGTTGCTCCACTTTATAGTAGGTAGATTTTAGGGCCTGCACTCTGCAGTGCTGTTCATAAATTTTTAACTGATAGGTTTTTTTGGTTGCTAATATTATGATCTTTTACTGGTGGTTTGAGTTTCATTTCTAATACAGATAGTTGAAAGTCCAGCTCTCCTTCTAAGACTTTGTTTCCCTTTTTGCCATTTTTGGTCAGTTTAGAAGTAGCCTTGTTATTTTCTAGATATGCTTTTACAACAAAGTTTGTTCTGTTCGTTGGGGGGGGGGGTGATTGTGGGTTTTTTTATTCTTTAAAATATTTCCAAATTTTAACGGCTCATCACCCCAAAGCTGGTTGTCACCTGGGGCGGTCATTCTTGTTTGCTTGTTGGCCATGCCAGGGAAGCAGGCACAGAAACATGTGTGAAAGATCCTTTGAGGCTAAGGCTGCAATATCTTATCGAGGGCTTTATCAGAAAATGTGTTCTCCCACACACTGTTTCACATGCAGCAGTCAGTGAAGCTTTCTGTTGCAAGTTGGAGTTGGCTTGCCGTGTTCTAGCAACCAGGAGAGGTGGGAAGAAGGGCACAATAGCCAGTGATGTTTTCAGGAATTTCTGCCTGGTGGTAACCAAGTGTAAGCATACGCATCTGTCTGCCTTTTGTTTGCTTTATTGGTTGCAATCTGCAGTTTTGTGAGGTGGTGATTTGGCTGAAGCTGTATGTTTAGAAGAACACAGAGGCACTGCAGCTGGTGAGAAAGGAAGGCTGCCAGCATTTAGTCACACCTGGTGGAAAATGAACTGCTAATTCAAAATGAGGAAACTGAAGAAAAGGAGGTAGAGCAAGTAAAATCTAAGAAGGCAACTAGCTGACAGACAACAACAATAAGAATTTGGCTGGAGTTTAGGCAAGCTTTTCCCTCTTTCTCTTCTTCATGTATAGGAAAAGAAAGAGAGGATGAAGAGGATGGCTGGTGCAGCAGGAAAGACTCTATGTGTGGCAGAGGCAAAGATGACTGGATACAGGAGCTGTGCTTGAGTGGTGACCTGCTGGAAATGATCTAGTGATGTAGGGTGGCCTCATCCACAAAGTCAAGGTGTGCCTGGTTGCAGTGACAGTTCTCAAATTGAGAGGAGGGACAGGGTGGGTGAGAGAAAGATGTGCATCTGGTTGCACAGACAGGTAAAGACCTGCTGTCACCTAGTCCTTAGACAAGGATATACATTTTTGAAAGTGCATGATTGAAAGGTTAAAAAACCAGTAAAAGGAAAAATATCACATGGCTGGAAATAGTTTAACAGTAAAAAATGTGAGGACATGAAGAATAAGATAGACATCATTTTGGTGTGTACGATAGTGGGATTAGCAATTTAGCAACTAGCTAAACCAAATCCAGATAGGCAGCTGAGCTAGATTAGTGAGGAATGACTGAAGCATTTGTGTATTGACACAGAATAAGGTTGGGCAACAAAAAGCAGGATTTGAGTTCATGGTGCAGGACAGCAGACGCTTACTACAAAAATTGTTGAATTAACAATTCTATCTGGTCATGAAAGTTATGTTGGACATAAAATGAGATCAGTAATTTCCTAAATTTACAGTAGAGACAACGTTGTAGAGATGGCATGACTGATAGGAATAAGATTGTGGAAATAGAAATTGTCTTGGGAGATGGAGCTAAACTGAGAGTCCTGCCTACACAGACTGAGGAAAAGGGACAGTCTGTACCCCCACTTGGGAGAACCAGCTTAGAGAAATACAAATCCAGGAGCAAGAATTTTAAGAAAGATTCAGGTGGTATTGTGTGTCTGAAGAGTAAGATAGGTTGTATGTACACTTAAGAAGCAGAAAAAATGGGATAAATTCACAAAAAGATCTGTTTCTCTTATATCAGAAGTAGATGAGACACTAGAATAAGTATAGAAGAAAGAATACTTGGAGGAATTGAGCTAAATAGAAAAAGGGATAGAGAGCAGCTTACATGAATCAAAGGTAGATTGTGTCAGACTAACTCAATATTTTCTTTTATGATATAATGGATGTTTTACCAAAGTCCAGAAATGCATTTCCTCCCTTTGTAAAATCAAAGCATTGAATGAAAGTTTTTAATGACACTTTACAGAAGAAGAATAAAAAGGCTTATTGTAAATCTGGTAAAGGAACACCTGAAGGAGAATCTAGTGATGAGTGTTCCTGAGAGAAGTTTACAGATAAGTGTAGGATATGCTCAGAGTCCTTCAACTGTCATTCTTGAGAACAACTGGGTTTAGTTTTTTCATTAACAACCTTGCCACAAAAAATAGCAGAGAAATCTTGCTGATGAGGTTGCACATAGTTGCTAATGACATACAGCTGGGAGGGCGGGCGGCATCTATGATTGTCAATACAGAAGAAGACACAGATAGTTTGGATAGACCTGAAGATTGAAATAACAAGCATGTTAAGCACAGGGAATAGGAGGGAAAGGAGAACACAAACCTGGAGTTTAGACCTGGGAGTGGGATTGATGCTCCCAGCTCCAAGACATTTATACATATCCTGTAATTATCACTGATACTGCCCAGGACTCTTTATTTTCCCAAAACACCTAAGCTAACAATCTGTGGTAAATCTCATGTGCAATTTTTCTGAAACATTTTTGTCTTCTTTTTCTTATTTTCCTTTATCCTTGCCATTCCTCCCCCTTGCACACCAGTAAACTACTGCAGCCTATTTCTGATGCCTTGTGTCAAAGAAGAATATTGAAAAAAAATCTTTCTGTAAATATTAAAAAATAACATTTAAAAAAAAATCCTGTTGAACTAACTGCATTCCTCACTACTGCAAATTCATGCTCTCAGTGCTCTGCTACCAAAAGATACAGGCTTGAGCAGCCAGAATGCCCCAAAGCACAAGCTCTGTCCAACCAGCTAGAGAGGATAATTAGGATAATCTGTATGCACATGGTTCATGATCATCTCTTCTTCTCAAGTAAAAAGTATCAGGTAATTTGGTCTTTTTTTTTTTTTAAATAATGTAATGAGGTTTAGTTCTAATCTGATGGAAATAACACTGTTATTATTCAGCTGACTTGTCAGACAGTATGTGCTCTGCAGGGCAGAGTTCGGGAGCCTCTGGAATAGCTCAAGTCACTGGATCTGACCATGGTAATTTCATGTCATACTCTTGAAGCAGACTTCCTGACTCACTACATGACTACTTACCACATAATGTACATGTACACTATGCTTTCAGGAATTAAGCTGTTTCTCCATGTCACATGTTTGAAGTAAAATATGCCTTATATGCTGTCACGAATAATTGCAAAATGTCTTGCGTGTTTGCTACAGCACAGATGCTTGAGAATCCTAATAATGAGATACAGCAATATTTGCTTGCTTAGCTTCACAGTAAGACCATGTTTGTATGAATCATTAAACTGGAAGGGATTCTGTATCACACAACCCAATTAGGTGAGACATTTAATTAGTGCTATTCTGCTCATTAAGCAGCTCTCCTACACCAGCAGCCCTGCATCTATTGAAAATGATGCATCAGCTATGCATGTCTTCATGTCGGTATATGCATGTATGTTTATCTCTCCATAAAAATATCACTGTGATGTCCTACTTTCAGACAGTTCCATAAATTCTCAGAATACATTTACAATGAAAAACAAATTGACTTGTAAAACACAATCAAATTACTATGCGCTGCATGAAGTATGGACTGAGAAATTCAAATACTGTAGGAACAGTAGTTTATGAAGCAAAACAACAGTAATTGTTCTGCTTCTCTGAGCAAAATTCTGCATGCTTTACTCCTATACATGTTTTTCATCTCAGTGGGATTTCTTAGGTGAAAAAGATTGAGAAGTATTTGGTGTATTATTTCATTTGATTCAGGCAGATTAGCAGATCCTTCCAGTGTGACTTCCTGTGGCCATGAAGACGGAGACCTCCTGTGCATATCTGTAAGAAGCTGGTGGTCCTGTAAGTATATGCTACTCCACTGTTCTTCTCCAAATGTTATTAGTGTCCTAGAAGGCAATTTAGAATCTTTCTTCCTCTTAGACTTCTATATTACACAGTAATTTCAGTCTTATGTAGTTCTCTGCCAACTACTTGCAGCAAGAAAGTATTGTTAGTTGACTTTCATAACATATTTGAGGAAGGAAAAATGCAAATTTGCAGCCTGAAAATGTTTACACTGCAAAAAGTGCATGTGAAAATGTGTGGGAAACACCATGATGGGTATCTATATTTGTAGACATTTGTAGAAATCACAGTTTGCGATTGCTCCAGAGCAGATTTATTCAGTTTAGATGGTAGTACTTCAAACTAAAAATTAGTGTGAGAATGCCACACATGAATCTTTGTGGTTCTTGCACCACCCTTGGTAATAAAAATCTGCCTTTGGTTGGTCCTCCACAACTTCACTGTGGTTAGTAGGCTACAGAGAATGAAATAAAGGGAATCTTTGGGCCCATGATATTGAAATAACTTCATTATCTTCCTTACACTGACATTTATCCAGCAGGCTTTCAAGTATTTGGTTAAAACTTAGTTACCTGGACCTATTGGAGGCAGTCCAGAGGAGAGCCATGAAATTGGTCAGAGGGCTGGAACACCTCCCCTATGAGGACAGGCTGAGAGAGTTGGGGTTGTTCAGCCTGGAGAAAAGAAGGCTCTGAGGAGACCTAATAGCAGCCTTCCAGTACCTGAAGGGGGCCTACAGGAGAGATGGGGAGGCACTCTTTATCAGGGAGTGTAGTGATAGGACAAGGGGTAACAGGTATAAGCTGAAAGAGGGTAGATTTAGATTAGACATTAGGAAGAAATATTTCACTGTGAGGGTGGTGAGACACTGGAACAGGTTGCCCAGGGAAGTTGTGGATGCCCCATCCCTGGAGGTGTTCAAGGCCAGGCTGGATGAGGCTCGAGGTCCATCAAGGATTACAGAGCCCTGGGAGCAGCAGTAAGGTACTCTGGAGCACAAGTAGTTTTTTCATCGATCCTCCTGTTCAAAGGGAAGGGATTTGAAAAGGCCAGTCAAATCTACCAAATCAACAAATGGTTACAGGAGTGGTGCCACAGCCAGGGGTTTGGCTACTTTGACCATGGGACTTGCTTTGAGAAACCTGGTCTACTGGTGGCTGATGGGGTCCATCTGTCAGAGAAGGGGAAGAGCATCTTTGGTCATAGGCTTGCCAACATGGTAAAAAGGGCTTTAAACTACAATTGCTGGGGGAAGGGAACCTCAATCCATCCCAGTCACACCATTTTGAAGCCAGGGCCAGCAATAGATGCCCAGAGCCTGGAGAAGAATCACAGGCCAGCAGGAAAGCACCTGAAGGGCAACACAAAGGACTTCTTGCCAGTAAGTCAGCTTCATCGGGGGCCCAGCTGAAGTGTCTCTATGCAAGTACCATAGCACGGGGAACAAACAAGAGGAATTAGAGACCTGCACACACCTGCAGGGCTATGATCTCATTGGGATTA